GTAACTATATAAAGAGAGAGAGGGAAAAAAAGTTACATTCCTTGTAATGTATATATATATATGTGTGAAATGTTACTTTTTCTCTTTTCTCTCTCTCTGTATATATAGTTACATTATATATAAAGTGTATTGTTATATATACTATATAAAGTTACTAATAGTTACATTGTATATATATTGTTTTATATATTTATACGCATTTTACATTACATTTATAGTTTATATATGTTGTTACATTTTATATATATATATATATATATAGTTTCATACTATATGTTGTTACATTTTATATATATAGTTTCATTCTATATACAGTATATTGTTATATTATATAGTTACATGAGGTATATTATTATATGTCAGGATAATAGAAGTAATGGCAGGAAATCAGGTCAGTGACCCGGCTGTTTCTCAGTGATGCAGATCCCTGGCTCAGTATAGGGGATCTGGTAACCCCTGCCATGCCAGCAGGTGCCCAGTGTTGGGTGATGTGTGTACATGACGTCACCTCCTTGTGGTCTCACCAGCATAGCTCGGCTCCGGGGGGCCCCTGGCTGAGGGCTCCGATGCCGCGTCGTCTCTGTAGGGGGCGTCGTCCCTTTGTCTGTACGGATCGCTTTCTGTTCTGGGACTATGGCGGCGGGGTGCGATGTCCGGCCACAGGGGGCCCCTGGTGGGGTGGCGCGGAGGGGCCACACTGTCCGATCAGCAGAGGTGTCGGTGACATGACGCGGCGGGGGTCATCGCTGTGGAGCGGGGTGAGATTACCCCTCCCCCCCCTCCAGTGGACGGTGTCTTCGTGCACAACACTCCGATGATACGATCCCTCTCCCCCGGAGGCCGCACACAGCCCCGCCCGCCCGGCTCTCCGTTCTATGGGCGCAGTCCGCCGCCGCCGCCGCTCTCCAGGGTGCTGAACACGGAGCCGCACTGCGCATGCGTGTGACTCAGCGTCAGGGCAGCGCTAGGCTGGGCGAGCCTTGGCACTGGGCTCGGTGTGCGGATCCCCCCGGTGTGCCGACAGGACAGCAAACACATCGCCGACAGTTACTGGAATTTAAAGGGTCACTCCACCCGAATGTGAAAGTTCAGGTAGTGTCAGGTTCAGGGGCGGACTGACAACTCATTGGGCCCTCGGGCAATAGGGGATCATGGGGCCCCTGTGTCCTTGCCTAAACTCAAAAAAGCCTATGAAAAAGGTACCAGGGGCATCTCATGGGGCCCCTTACTGACCCCGGGCCCTCGGGCAGTGCCCGAGTTTCCAAATGGTCAGTCCACCCCTGGTCAGGTTGGGGGCACACTTGTTTTTGTCGGGGTTAGGGGCGGACTGACAACTCATGGGGCCCCCAGGCAATAGGGGATCATGGGTCCCCTGTGTCCTTGCCCAAACTCAAAAAAGCCTATGAAAAAGGTACCAGGGGCATCTCATGGGGCCCCCTACTGACCCCGGGCCCTCGGGCAGTGCCCGAATTTCCAATTAGTCCGCCCCTGGTCGGGGTGCATTACTGCAACGCATGGAAACGCACCATGCAGGGGAAACGGAGCTTCTACGCGTTCCTGCGTGTCATGTGTAAGGCAGCCCCATCAATGTAATGCAGAACTTTTCCCAAAAGGGGAAGTTCCACTTATTTGCAATTCCCCCCCCACCCCCAGTGCCAGTTTGGCACTTTTTTGGGGGGGCGGGGGGTTTCAGGTACCTAGTCCTGATCCGATTACCAGGCAACAATCAATGTTCCCCCCCCCCCCCCCCCCCCCCCCCCCAGTCTTCATGTCCCAGAGGATTGCAGGACCATCCACAAAGTGCAGCTTGGCTCGCACATGCGCAATAGTAAACCAGCTGTGGAGCCAGAAGACTTCACTGACGCTTTCCCTTACCTAAGATGGCGGCGTCTGCACCTGAAGTCGACTGGAGAATCGGCTCCGGTGAGGACACCGCTGGATCCCTGGACAGGTAAGTGTCCTTATTATATATATGTATATATATACATATATATACCAGCGGTGGTGTCCGTGGATAATGTTCGGACAGGGAAGCGGGAGTCTAACAGAAATATCTTAGTGCAGTCGGGGTCTGGTTTCGTTACACTCACATTCCCAAAAAAGTGTGAAGTGAAGTGCGTTGCTATTCATTTTGTATGGAGCTCAATGCACTAAAGCCCCTTCCACCCAGGCAGTAAAAATTGGCAGTTGGCCACATTTTGCCGCCCCTGAAAGCCATAGGGCTGCAATTGCACTTGAGTGTTTCGTCAACATGGTCAAAAACGCGTGTTGCACTCAGGGACGGACTGACATCTCATGGGGCCCCCCCAGGCATTAGGGGATCATAGGGCCCCTGTGTCCTCACCCACCCTCAAACCACACCCAAAAAAGCCTATGAAAGGTACTAGGGGCATCTCACGGGGCCCCCTACTGACCCTGGGCCCTCGGGCAATGCCGAGTGCCCAAATGGTCAGTCCGCCCCTGGTTGCACTTCTTAATGGCACCCCAAATGTGGCAGGCAGACGTGTGTTTTTGAGCATGTCAAGACGTGACGAACACACCAATATGCGCAGATAAAGACGCATACAGCTCGACACCCAAAAAGACACATGAGCCACTTGGGCGCGATGGTCACACGTAGAGCAGTGCATTGAAATGAATGAAAAAAAGGGGTGCTGTTGCGCTTAGGAAAAAATAAATGAACATATATGTGGAAAAAAATTTAACTACGTATATATAAGATACCTATATAGCAGCCGTCCTAAATGTGAATTCCTAAACACAAAATCTTATATATTTCAAAAATTGGACAGCGCTAAGGTCACCAATAAAAAGTTTATTTTAACTTTGCAATCTTTAAAGTGATAGCGCTGAGCAAAATACAAATACAATATTAATATTCAGTCCCAACATGTGAATAATTGGTGCAAATGAAATGAATGGTCTGCCCTGTACGTGAAGTGTAAGAACACACAAAAAAACATGAAAAAAACGTGGGTTCACAAAACGCTAGGTGCAAACCTAGTTTAGGGGCTCATTCACACTTGTGACAGCGCCTATGTCCCTTTGAATAGCAATGCACCTCCGCAGTTGACAGCCAGTTGGGAGGAGATATTTTGCCTCCTGGGTGCCTGTTTTAACCCATTAAACGCTCGCAACTCTGCACCACAACCACTCAACCACCTGCATTTATTTGAATGTATCACATTTGGTGGCAGTACTGACAGCCATGACACAGGATAACATTTGTGCCACAAGGCATCATCGCCGACAGTTACTGGAATTTAAAGGGTCACTCCACCCGAATGTGAAAGTTCAGGTAGTGTCAGGTTGGGGGCACACTTGTTTCTTGTCGGGGTTAGGGGCGGACTGACAACTCATGGGGCCACCGGGCAGTAGGGGATCATGGGGCCCCTGTGGCCTTGCCCAAACTCAAAAAAGCCTATGAAAAAGGTACCAGGGGCATCTCATGGGGCCCCTACTGACGCCGGGCCCTCGGGCAGTGCCCGAGTTTCCAAATGGTCAGCCCGCCCCTGGCTGCCGCATGTGTACAAACCCCCATCACTGTCTTTGGTTAAAGTGGTTGTAAACCCTTACATATACCCAGTGAAGTGACTGGGACAGAGATGAAAAAAATCCTCCTACATAAGTTGTACCTGTTTATCTACCACCGCATGTCCCCTACATCCATTCAAAGTGCAGAATTTACACAGGATCTCTCAGCTCTGAAAAGCAGGAGGTGGGGAGCTGAGCTTACATCAGTGAGGAGAGCTCTGAGAGCTGATTGGATGGAAGAGGCACACCCCCTCCACACAGCTAACAGGCACAGAGCTGAGGCTGTCAATCTACTGGAGATCCCTCCCCTTGTTAAGAGGAAGTTTAGTGTCCTCAAGTTCACTACTACCGGAGTGTCCCACAGTTACCCTGAACCAATCCAAGTTCACGTATGGTATGGAGAACAAGCATTTCGCTTCTCAGATCCATTGTTTACACTGCGGACCCCAACATCACCTCTGCCAGCCCTTCCAAGAGCTTCCACAAATATGGGGTGTCACACAATGTATAGTTATTATTTCTACTACAAGGGACTTTCCTAGTGGTAGATGTACTTGCTTCACATTATAAGGGCTCCATGTACACTGCAGCTGATAAACTGACGTTTAGGAGCTTTTCTGCGTTTTTTTTTCAGCAGCCCCTGAACTCTCCCTAATGTTTTCCTATGTGTCCATGTACACAGAGTTGTTTACAGTCAGTTTACAGGCAGTTGTGTTTACAGCCGTTTTTTTTTTAACACACCAAACTTGCTTTCAGCAGTAGATTTTACTGGCTTTTCAAACACCAAATGCTTGTAAACATCGGGCCCTCAGGCCACCCTCATGAAGTCTGTTTTTGATTGTTTAGTCAGAGACATTCACACCAGTGGCCTGCTGGAGGTCATTTTGTAGGGCTCTGGCAGTGCTCCTCCTGTTCCTTCTTGCACAAAGGAGCAGATACCGGTCCTGCTAATGGGTTAAGGACCTTCTACAGCCCTGTCCAGCTCTCCTAGAGTACCGTATTTTTCGCTCCATAAGACGCACTTTTTTCCCCCCAAAAAAAGGGGGAAAATGTCAGTGTGCCTTATGGAGCGAATATGGAGCGGCCGGTCCGGTATTTCCACCGCCGCCGTCTCAAAATATCGGGCCGGCCGCTCAGCTCTGCAGTGGGACCTTGCCTGTTCCTCTATCCAGCGGCGCGCTGTCTTCCCGGATTCTGTAGTGTGCATGACAGCCGGTGCCGATTGCGCATGCGCAAGAAGCGGTGCTCTTTGTGAATGGTAAGGCGGTACCTGGGACACATGACAGATCCCAGAAGCCGCTGGACCAATCACTAAGCGCAGCGCTTCTCTCTCATGCGCACTGGGCATCCGGCTGTCCGCCGAGCGCCCACACTACAGAAGCCGGGAAGACAGCGCGCCGCTGGATAGAGGAACAGGTAAGATCAAAGAACAACTCCGCGGAAGTAAGAGCGGGTACCTGTCAAATTCAGGTACCCGCTCCCCCTCCCTCCCCAAAGGTCAGCAGTCATCTCCTGTACTGTCCACAGTCTCTGTCCGTCATCTGTACTGTCCGCAGTCGCAGTCTGTGTCCGCAGTCTGGTCATCTCCTGTACTATGTCTGCAGTCTCTGGTCATCTCCTGTATTGTCCGCAGTCTCTGGTCATCTCCTGCACTGTCCGCAGTCTCTGGTCATCTCCTGTACTGTGTCCGCAGTCTCTGGTCATCCCCTGTACTGTGTCCGCAGTCTCTGGTCATCTCCTGTACTGTCCGCAGTCTCTGTTCATCTCCTCTACTATGTCCGCAGTCTCTGGTCATCTCCCGTACTATGTCCGCAGTCTCTGCTCATCTCATGTACTGTGTCCGCAGTCTCTGGTCATCTCCTGTACTGTCCGCAGTCTTTGGTCATCTCCTCTACTATGTCCGCAGTCTCTGGTCATCTCCTGTACTATGTCCGCAGTCTCTGTTCATCTCTCTCTACTATGTCCGCAGTCTCTGGTCATCTCCTGTACTGTCCGCAGTCTCTGTTCATCTCCTCTACTATGTCCGCAGTCTCTGGTCATCTCCTGTACTATGTCCGCAGTCTCTGGTCATCTGTACTATGTCCACAGTCCACAGTCTGGTCATCTCCTGGACTATGTCCGCAGTCTCTGGTCATCTCCTGTACTATGTCCGCAGTCTCTGGTCATCTCCTGTACTGTCCGCAGTCTTTGGTCATCTCCTGTACTATGTCTGCAGTCTCTGGTCATCTCCTCTACTATGTCTGCAGTCCATTAGTTCAGAATTTTTTTTTCCTGTTTTCTGCCTCTAAAACCTAGGTGTGTCTTATGGTCAGGTGCGTCTTATGGAGCGAAAAATACGGTAACTGCCTGTCTCCTGGAATCTCCTCCATGCTCTTGAGACTGTGCTGGGAGACAGTGCAAACTATGGCAATGGTACATATTGATCTCCGAGGAGCAGGACCCTCCTAACCCTCTTGTATTGAACTGTATTGTTGCTGTATTGTCTCCCATTATATTGTACAGCGCTGAGCAAACTGTTGGCGCTATATAAATCCTGTATAATAATAATAATAATAATAATGTGCCATCCTGGAGGAGTTGGACTGCCTGTGCAACCTCTGTAGGATCCAGGTATGGCCTCATGCTGCTAGTAGTAACACTGACCCTAGCCAAATGCAAAGCTAGTGAAAAAAGGTCAGAACAGATAAGTAGGGAAAAAAATGTCAGTGGCCTCCACCTGTAAAACTATTCCTGTTTTGTGGATCGTCTCATTGTTGCCCATCTAGTGCACCTGTTCTTAATTTCATTAACACCAAAGCAGCTGCAACTGATTAACAACCCCCTCTGCTATTACCTGACCAGATCAATATCTCAGGAGTTTCATTGACTTGATGCTATACTCTGATTAAAAAGTCTTCCTTTAATTTTTTTGAGCAGTGTACAATGGAGAGAGCAAGATAAAGAGGAATATAGTTTGATTACCGCTGTATAGGTAAAGGACACACAGTGAGCGCTCTCAAAGAAACAGCAGCTGAACATCCAGGATAAACGCATGTAAAAATCCTCAGTAAAACATATATATATAAAAATGCAGCGCTGTAAAATGATCAAATCCTGCAAATCAACACAATAATAGTCCTGAAAGGTGCTCAATAATTCCCAGTGCCAATGGAAAGAATACAAACTAACCAGAAGCGCATTTAAAATACGCATGTGTGTAAGAAATCCTGGAGATTCCCCTCTCTCCCTCTGGTCAGAAAATGGATATGTGCTGAAATGGATGACGATGACGCCCTCTTGTGCGAAAACGAAATCCTGCAGGTCAGGAAGCTCCCAGGATAGGATATTCCTCTTCAATGGAACCAGGGCTGGGATTGAAATCACTCTGTGGCTGTGAAGTTGGGAGAAATACCCCTCACAGAGAACACAGAGAGATACTCATAGTGTAGTATATTACTTCAATTTATTTAAAAAAAACAAGTAAAACATATAATCAGGTGGCAAGTGAAAGTGACCCACTGACCCTCTTAAAATTATAGGTGGCCGCCGGGCCTCCACATGGCACCGGCGGCGTAGTGTCATATTATTTAACTATACTGGTTTTTACCCCTGTAACAAATGTATAGCATGCAAGTGTGATGGCAGAAGAAAAAGAAGGATTGACACTTTTCACTTCTAATCAAACTCATAACACACTCATTACACACTCATTACACACATGCGTATTTTAAATGATGCGCTTCTGGTTAGTTTGTATTCTTTCCATTGGCACTGGGAATTATTGAGCACCTTTTCAGGACTATTATTGTGTTGATTTGCAGGATTTGATCATTTTACAGCGCTGCATTTTTATATATATATAGTTTGATTACCACTATATAGGTATGATAGATAGATAATACAGTGATGGACAGAGAGATAGATAGATAGATAGATAGATAGATAGATAGATAGATAGATAATACAGTGATGGATAGATAGAGATAGATAGATAATACAGATAGATAGATAGAGAGATAGATAGATAGATAGATAGATAGATAATACAGTGATGGATAGATAGATAGATAGATAGATAGATAGATAGATAGATAGATAAATACAGTGATAGATAGATAGATAGATAGATAGATAGATAGATAATACATGATAATACAGTGATGGATAGATAGATAGATAGATAGATAGATATAGATAGATAGATAATACAGTGATGGATAGAGAGATAGATAGATAGATAGATAGATAGATAGATAATACAGTGATGGATAGATAGATAGATAGATAATACAGTGTTGATTTGCAGGATAGATGATATAGATAGATAGATAATACAGTGATGGACAGAGAGATAGCATAGATAGATAGATAGATAGATAATACAGTGATGGATATAGATAGATAGATAGATAGATTAGATACCACAGTGATGGATAGATAGATAGATAGATATAGATAGATAGATAGATAGATAATACAGTGATGGACAGAGAGATAGATAGATAGATAGATAGATAGATAATACAGTGATAGATAGATAGATAGATAGATACAGATGATAGGATAGATAATACAGTGATGGATAGATAGATAGATAGATAATAGTGATGGATAGATAGATAGATAGATAGATAGATAATACAGTGATGGATAGATAGATAGATAGATAGATAGATAGATAGATAGATAGATAGATAGATAATACAGTGATACAGATAGATAGATAGATAGATAGATAGATAATACAGTGATGGATAGATAGATAGATAGATAATACAGTGATGGATAGATAGATAGATAGATAATACAGTGATGGATAGAGAGATAGATAGATAGATAGATAGATAGATAGATAGATAGATAATACAGTGATGGATAGATAGATAGATAGATAGATAGATAGATAGATAGATACAGTGATGGACAGAGAGAGAGATAGATAGATAGATAGATAGATAGATAGATAATACAGTGATGGATAGATAGATAGATAGATAATACAGTGATGGATAGACAGATGAGATAGATAGATAGATAGATAGATAGATAGATAGATAGATAGATAGATAGATAGATAGATATCGTCTCAACAGTAATCATGACACTTTGCAATTTTTGACTTTTATTGAGTATTTTGTGTAAGAACTATTCTTTTGTCTTTATTAAACAAATGGTTTTTTCAGCGTTGGGGTTTTTTTTTTTTTTTTTTACATTCACATGATGCAAACAAAGTAACAATTCACAGATTCATCTCTTTCGGAACATATTCTAAACTGTTATTAGGATCTCATAAGATTAACTTTCAAGTTTTATTGATTTTATATTACTGTTAACCACAAATTCTAATCATTTAGGAAATAGGCAGCACAAGTGGAAGCTGGGAACTGTAGGCAGGAATGCATTGAAACAGAAAACTAGTAACACAAAAAAAAAAAAAAATCTTTAAAAAAATACAATGACAGCTGAAACATAAGCGTTGTGAGTATCCCAGGATGTGCTGCTGTCTTCAAAAATAAATTACAGTCCTCCTTTAGTATTTAAATATCTTTTTTTCATACCTAATGTATTTACATATCCAGTTCAGAGCAGCAAATAGCCACAAGACATGGAACCCTACGGAGCAGGTTCTTGTGCCTCTATGCGCAAAACAATCTCTTCTGAGCGCAATCCTAAAGTTAAACTTTCTCACTAATAAATATCTAATTATTTAGTGCAGTGATGTTCTATCTACAGTCCAAGCACAGGAGATCAGATCCTACTTCAGTCCTCCTATATAAGCCATCTGTTTAAAAAAAAAAAAAAAATTCTTTATCTAATCCAACCGGCTCATGTGATTGGCAGATGAAATGTGGGTGGCATTGAGCAACCAATAAGGAAGACTTTATTTATGTTTCCCCTTTGGGAAACAATATGTGAGTCTCAAAGGAAGAACAAAAAAAAAAAAAAAAACCACAGTAGCTACAAAATAATAAAATTATAATTCTCCTTTACAGTTAGCTTTACAACTTGTTGGCAAGAAAAATAATATTAAAATTCTACATTTGAACAAGGAATGACGCGCTATTGGTGAGCTGGTTACAATCTAGTTAGTTGACATTGAATTTTTTTTTTTTTTTACAAGATGATTGTATGGAGATAAAAAATATTGTTTATTGATAAGAACTCCAAGGAGCTATGCTGTTCCATTAGTGCGCAAGATCTACTGTAGAAGCAGTGGCTGCCACAGTTCTTAGTTTCAGCGACAGTAAAGCGACAGTTCGCCAGAAAACGCAGCAGCTTGCTCACCGTTCCGCTATCAGAAGGCTAACGAGTAAGACCTCATGGATCCCATTGATAAAAGTCCTTAAAATCCATCGTTAAGGTTGGCACGTAGGACAATAAAAGAATCTTCCTCTACAGTGAGATGCAGGCGTATCAACACAACCCAGTTCTGGGTTAAAAACTGTGTTAATCAAAGTTCATACCGTAAAAAAAATTTCATATAAAAAATATTTTGATATTTTTTTTTTTTTTCACCGTTGATCTCCATCCGTGTGAGCTCCCGGCCTCATAGACCTGTCAGTTTGGGAATGCTACAGAGGGCCAGATAGGGCTTGTCTTAGTCTCACAGACAGGGTTCTACAGCATCTGCGATTTTATAAAAATCGTTCCGGGCAAGAATGCGCTTAGTTTAGCGGTAGGTGTGCCAGGGTCGGTCACAAGTCGGTGACTTTGTTCTCTACGGCTGCCGCGATTTGCTGCAATCTGTAGCCGAGCTGCATTTTTTGGGCTGTTGTGTCATCCTCCAGTGCTGTGATTATCTGTAGAAGAAAAGGAATTTGTAAATCCAACCATCTACTCTGTAATAAATCAATTCTGTAAGCAAAGACTGCCTAATTACTGGCTGCACTTTGGGCACAAGAAGAAAACTACCCTGGTAGTGAGGCCCCCCTACACTGCGAGAGTTAAAGCCCTACTCCGGGAAACTTAAAAATGAACCATTGCAGTGGAGCCCTGACTGCACTGGAAGGGTTAATTGGTCATTTAAAGTGGTTGTAAAGGGTCAAGGTTTTTTACCTTTATGCTCCCCCCCCCTTCCCAATACTTGCCTGAGTCCCACCATGGTCCGTTGATGTGCACAACAGCCTCAGT